GCCTCCCTACCTTTGGGCGTCTTCTGGTCGCCGCTGTGCTGCAGGTCAGGGTCCCCGCATCAGATTGGTCAGGCTCCAAGCAGAGGTGTCTGGCACTGCTCCCACCTTCACCTCCACCTCCTGGATCGCAGAGCCTCAGGATGGCTCCGCCCACCTCAGTCTGAGCTGGCCCCACTTGGGGCTGGAATTGGGAAACTGCTCCACTGTGGCTATTTAAGTTTAAATAGAAGAGGTGCCAAGGCCGGGCGCGGTGGCTCACGCCTGTAATCCCAGTACTTTGGGAGGCCGAGGCGGGTGGATCACGAGGTCAAGAGATCGAGACGATCCTGGTCAACATGGTGAAACCCCGTCTCTATTAAAAATACAAAAAATTAGCTGGGCATGGTGGTGCGTGCCTGTAGTCGCAGCTACTCAGGAGGCTGAGCCAGGAGAATTGCCTGAACCCTGGAGGCGGAGGTTGCGGTGAGCCGAGATCGCGCCATTGCACTCCAGCCTGGGTAACAAGAGCGAAACTCCGTCTCAAATAAATAAATAAGAAAAAATAGAAAGGTGCCAGACGTTTTCTCTACAGCAGTGAAATCTGTAGCATCCATTCTGTATTTTGTAAACTTAGTTTTCGGCCACCTGTGGGAAGAAGAAGAGGTCCCAGAACTGGGCACTGGGGTAGGGAAGAGGAAGGAAACCGGCCAGACACAACAGCGAAAGAAGAAGGGGTGGGGACTCGAGGCAGAGTCAGTCTTCCTGCCTGGGAGCTGGGCCTAGGAAAGCTAACAAAGGGAGGGAGGGAGGAGCCCCCGGTTGTGGATGTCTCTAGGGGGAACTTTGGATCAGCAACAGCCAGAGGATCCCTGAGGCCAAGCGGTATCCGTCCCTACCTTTGGGCATCTTCTCGTGGCCAGTGTGCTCCAAAGCATTGGGGTCAGGCACTAGAGCCATCTCCATCTTGTAGATCTGAATCAAAGCTGAAGAACGGCTCCGCCCCGCTCACCCTGAGTCGGCAACGCTTGGGGCTGGCATTGGGGTACAGCGTGTTCAGGGCGCCTGTAACTCCTCTCTGCTGGGGCTGCGCCTTTCCTGGCCGCGCACTCATAGATGTTAGAGCAGGACGGCTCTGCAGAACCCCAGCACCCGCCCTGCTTGGGGCTGGCTTTGGTCCACATGCGGCAGGTCAGCGTGGTTTTTATGGGGAGCCTCTGCTGTTCCCGGGCACTTTGGGTCTTTGGTTGCTTCCAGGTCTGCACGGCTCAGCACCAGCTGACTCTCCCAGCGGAATGACACCAACTTTGAAGGCACTAACTGAAGGCCACCAACTGAAGGCCGGTTGCCCTGCCAACCAGATCGCGTCCTGCTTAGGAGGAACCAATCAGGCCTTGAGTTCCCTCCACGTGCGGTCCTTCCATCTGTGATGTGGGAGCCCAGGCACCGGCTCACAAGGCCCCGCCCCGCAGCGGTCCGCCCCACCTGTCATTCATTGATAGCTGCTAGCACTTTTCTGGTTTCTTCACTGTGCATTGTGAATATGAATGATGTTAAAATTACTGTAACCAAGTGTGCCTCGTGCACTGTCTCGCATCCAAAGTGTCCTTTTTCCTCCATGGCTTCTGAGGGTTTTTGAAACTAGAAAGACAAATATCTGCAGGTGCTTTCAGAAAAAAACATTGCCATGAGTTAAGTCTACTCTGTTATGTTAACATGTGTACATGTTATATGCATACATATTTAATGTGTGTATATAATATATATGCATTCAATAAGTATATAAGTTTTTGAAAATAACACACATTCATTTAAACTAGCAAGTGTAATGGGGAAATTTTCTAAAATTCATACACTGAGTACATCACATTTTTCTAAGGCTCATGTGGATAGAGCAGCTTTCTAGATGCAGCCCTTTACACATGTTACTGGTTTTTTCCTTCTTTCATCAAACGTTTCTTTAGAATTGACTCGAGGCAAGATACGGTAGAGAAATGGAAGAATCAATTACAGGAGCTGTTCAACTAGTATGTTAGACTGATGGGTATACACGCAACTTCAATAAAATGATATGTATTGAACGTACCTGGGGAGAAGTGCTAAGATGAGCTCCAAATCCCTGTATTTATGATGATGCCCTCTTCATAGTAAAATATTAGTAATACAATAGCATGCTCTCCTTGATGTCTCACCTTTAATTTCACGGTATAATCTTCCACCATTTGTATCCTAACTAAGCATTTCCTCCATAATCCCCAGGAAATAGCGAAACCTCTGAAAATAAACATTTCAATCTTAGATTTACTGTTGAAAGAAGTGTGTCATTGATGCCTCAGTTTATTATTGTGGCGCCAAATTCCCAGTGCGGAAGCAGCACGAGCTGGAATTCACGCCCTTCATTTGAAATGATTGCAGATTATTGGCTTTTTCTTGGTAAATATTTAAGAAAATTCCTATTCTCTTAATGCTGTAAAGGGATCTTAAAATCATGGGGATATATTTGTACTCTGCATGACAATGTACATATTCCTTCTTTTTGTTTAGTACAAAAATAGCACTTAAGGAACTTCTGTGAAATAGAAATTCTAAGTAACAACTAGATCTGAGATTTTGTATAAATCATAAAATGTATAAACGTTTTGTGTTGTTTGGTTGATTTGAGACAATCTAGCTCCTTAGCCCAGGCTGGAGTGCAATGTCGTGATCTTGGCTCACTGCATCCTCCCCATCCAGGTTCAACCCATTTTCCTATCTCTATCTCTGAAGTATCGTGGAGTACAGGCAGATGCTGCCATGGCTGGCTAATTTTTGTATTTTTAGTAGAGGCAAAGTTTTGCAGTATTGGCCAGGCTGGTGTCCAAGTGCTGACCTCCAGTGATCCGCGCAGCTTGGCTTCCCAAGGTATAAACATTTCTAAACATTTAAAGTTGACCTTGCCAATTTGAAATGTAGACATTTATCAGGCTCTGAGTAATTATACTCTTAGTTATCTGCCCAAATCGTTTACCAGGTGCATCTTCCTCAGCAAGGCCTTCAACATCATTTCCACTAGTAATTGAAAGCCAAGAAAGCAGGCTATGCCTCACCTACTTCTTCCTGGGCTAATGATCTCAGAGTTAGTTGCTCTTCTTAATTTGGAAAAAATAAATTAAATAATTGTTCTGTCATTAAACACAACATAGAATAATCAGTTCAAAAATTAATTTTGATAATTATTTTGATGCCAATCCCACATTTGGTAATAATGATTATATACGCAAGTATTTTTTAGCCGATTAAACTGGAACATATTCTTTGAAACATCATGATCGTTGTAGTCAGTAACTTTAATGGAGTACTATGGTGTTTTTGATAAATCCCATGAGTTATTCTCAATGATCTTATGACAGTTGTAATCAAAATGAATCCTTTGGGCCTAGCACAGTGGCCTACACCTGTAATCCCAGCAATTTGGGAGGCTGAGGTGGGAAGATCACCTGAAGCCAGGGGTTCAAGACGAGCCTTGCCAACATGGAGAAACTCTGTCCCTATTAAAAATACAAAAAAAAAAAAAAAAAAAAAAAAAATGGGCCTTGTGGTGGGTAAAAAAAAAATACCTTTTTTTTTTTTTTTCTGACGAGTTGCAGTGACTCACACTTGTAATCCCAGTGCTTCGGTAGGCTGAGGTAGGAGGATCACTTGAGGCCAGGAGTTTGAGACTAGCCTGGGTGACAGAGCAAGATCCTGTCTCTACAAAACAAAACAAAACAAACAAACAAACAAAAGACGAAAGAATAAAAGGAGAGAAAAAGAATACTGGCTTTTTTAAGTGTGTGAGGCAAACCCTGCCCCATAGTTTGCTAGTGGGTTACCTTTTGTTCGGCATTTATCATGATTATGTGAAAAACTGTCTTGTGATTTTGGTGTCACGGTGAAGAAGAGATTTCTCAACCAGACATTTTAAGAAAGAAATTCACTGAATCTTCAAATTAGTTTTTCCAATTTTGACTTAAGTAAACATTTGACATAATTTTTAAAGAAAAATGGATATTTAAAAACTTTAAATGCCAATAGAAGTGCAAATTTCGGTGGTTGAAGAGCCTAGAATTCCAGCCCCGTTACCTACTGGCAGTCCTACCTTGGGCAAATGTATATTTTTATGCTTCCGTTTCCCATCTGTAGAGACACAGTCAACACTCAATAACTCTTGTTTGCTACTGTATTACATACATGTTCTGATTTATTTTTAAATTGGTATACTTTCATCAGTGTATGTTTGGAAAGAGTTTGAATATTTTTTGACTCTTTCATTGAGTAAATCCAAATACTTGTAAAAGAGTTAGAGTTCTTTAATAAAAACTTATCATGAACTAAGGATGCATCTTAAGGTATCACAAATGAAACAAAGCCAATACTGATTCAATACCGGCGCGTAGACTATGGTATTTATTACTCGTTAAATTTGTTCTTCTTAATAAAGCACAGAGGGAATAGGAAATACCTCACACTCTAGCGCAAAGGTTGCTATGACCCTAAGCTGTTGAAGGTTCTTTATAAAATACAGATTTCTGGGACCCGCCTAAGATGATTCCGATGATGGGCGGTATGAATGAGTCACTTATTTAGAAATAACCATTTTAAGGATTAGGACCCCGAAGCCCTGAAACGTCCTGCTGTAGTCAACATTATAGTCACACTCACAGGTTGACATTCCTTTGTGGTTTTCCCACCCTTCTTCCCGGCCTGGTGAACTCCTGTTCAAAAGCCCAGAGCCCGGCTCAAAGTGGCTTCATCTGTGGGGAGCCTCCCTGCCCCACAGTGGGTGCTCCTCTAGGCCATGCCCGTCCTGGGCCTCCCAAGCTCCCGGGGCTGCCCCTGCTGCCTCACCATCCGCTCGCTCCAAAGCGGGCTGTACCTTGATGACTAAGGGCAGCCAGGTGTGCTGGTTCTCATCCAAATACACGAACTTCTCCCAGATCCACAGGCGGTCCAGGTGGTCCGGACTGACTCCCTGCGTAACTGCTCCTGGGCCATGGCTCCCTCAGATGCTCCCCAAAGGGCGGCGTGCGCGGGTCGGGTCCCCTAGCGGCGATGCCGCTTCCTCCAGGCTGCGTAGCATGCGCTTCCCAGGCGTCGCCATCTACTTGGTCGAGCCTCACATGGGTCGCAGCCGCCGGGCCTTCCTCACACGCCTGGCCCGCTCCAAAGGCTTCCGCGTCCTCGACTCCTGCAGCTCCGAAGTGACACATGTTGTGATGGAACAGACCTCAGCAGAGGAGGCCATCAGCTGGCAGGAGCGCAGGATGGCAGCTGCTCTCCCGGGTTGCAGTCCCCCAGCTCTGCTGGACATAAGCTGGTTCACAGAGAGCCTGGCAGCTGGGCAGCCTGTGCCTGTGGAGTGCCGGCACCGCCTGGAGGTGGCCGGGCCGGGGAAGGGGCCTCCGAGTCCAGCATGGATGCCTATCTATGCCTGCCAGCGCCCCACGCCCCTCACACACCACAGTACTAGCCTCACAGAGGCTCTGGAGACACTGGAGGAGGCGGCGGGCTTCCAAGGCAGTGAGGGCCGCCTCCTCGCCTTCTGCAGAGCGGCCTCAGTGCTCAAAGCCCTTCCCAGCCCCGTCACAACACTGAGCCAGCTGCAGGGGCTACCCCAGCTTGGAGAACACTCCTCTAGGGTTATCCAGGAGCTGCTGGAGCATGGAGTGTGTGAGGAGGTGGAGAGAGTTCGAAGCTCAGAGAGGCACCAGACCATGAAGCTCTTCACCCAGGTCTTCGGGGTCGGTGTGAGGACTGCTGACTGGTGGTAAAAACTGCCAACCCAGGATGACCTCTGAGAGCAGCCCCAGAAACTGACCCAACTGCAGAAAGCGGGGCTCCAGCACCACCAGGACCTGAGCACCCCAGTTCTGCGGTCCGATGTAGATGCCCGGCAGCAGGTGGTGGAAGAAGCTGTGGGGCAGGCCAGGCCTGGGGCCACCGTCACACTGACCGGCGGCTTCCGCAGGGGGACGTTGCAGGGCCATGACGTGGACTTCCTCATCACCCACCCCAAGGAGGGCCAGGAGGCGGGGCTGCTGCCCAGAGCGATGCACCGCCTGCAGGACCAGGGCCTCATCCTGTATCGCCAGCACCGGCATAGCCGCTGGGAGTCCCCTACCCACCTGGCCCAGCAGAGCCACATGGATGCTTTCGAGAGGAGTTTCTGCATTTTACGCCTACCACAACCTCCAGGGGCTGCTGTGGGGCGATCCCCAAGGTCCTGCCCATCCTGGAAGGCCGTGAGGTTGGACTTGGTGGTCCTACCCATCAGCCAGTTCCCTTTTGCCCTGCTTGGCTGGACTGGCTCCAAGCTTTTCCAGCGGGAGCTGCGCTGCTTCAGCCGGAAGGAAAAGGGTCTGTGGCTGAATAGCCATGGGCTGTTTGACCCGGAGCAGAGGACGTTTTTCCATGTGGCTTTAGAGGAAGACATCTTCAGCCACCTGGGCCTTGAGTACCTTCCTCCAGAGCAGAGAAACGCCTGAGCCTGCCTGTGGCCCCCACTTCTGCTCAGGAAATTGAGCCACCCCCAACTTGGCCACTGAATGTCTCCAGGCAGATATGCATTCCCCGACCCCCACCTTCACCCCTCCCAAGTGAAGGAGCCCCTCCCCACCAGGGCCTGGCTCTACCAGAGGTCAGCTGTGCCTGAGGGAATCAGTTGAGCCCCAGCTGGCATGCTGTAGGGGGAGCTTCTGGTGCCAGCCTCATTGCTACGTGACCTTGGGTCTGCTCTTAGCCTTCCCGTGGCTCACGTTCCCGCCCTGGACAGGGCGTGTGAGCAGGGCCCACTTCGTGGAGCCTTGGCAGGGCCTATAGTCATGAATGGCAAGTGGTTTGTTTGCCTGATGTGCAGTGTCCCATCAGTTGTACTGCAGTTACTGTGGCTCCTGTAGGGCACCCTGTCCAGAAGTTCCCGGAAGAGAACCATGTGTCCCTGCACTGTGTTTGAGCCATGACGTGGAGGCTGTCGTTCTTGCCCACAAGGAGCATACTGTGGAGTGTGCTGTAGGCATCTGCACAGGGAGAGGGCCGGGGTAGGAGTTAGGAGGAAGAGAATTTTCAACTCTAAAGCTTCATTACTGCAGTGCCCCAAGCCAGGCTCTGGGCTTCTGCCTTTAAGGCCTGTTCTCAGCACGCTCTCTCAAAAATAGGTCATCTCCTGCCACTCCTGGCTCATTGCCCTTTAATGGTTCCAAACCCTAAGTCTGCATGTGGCCCTGGGCTCTGGCATTTCTGCCAGCCCCTTTCTCCAGCCCCACTGTCCCTGAGCCACTTCCTGCCTCACAGGCTTCCTGTTTGATGCACCCAGACTCCCTCCCCTTCTCACTGCAGAAGCACTGAGGTGGGCTGGACCCGGGTGTCCTCCATGTCCCTCACATCCCCAGGCACGCTCTGGCCTCAGGCTTTGCCCTGGCCATGCCATCCACCTGGAGTGTGCCCTCCCCTTCTTCAGGCCTTAAATCAGAAGTCACTTGGTTAGGCAAAGACTTCCCAGACCACTCATTACATTAAAAAATATTTTGAAAATGAACATGCAGGGAGGTTGACTCTTTTGGGGTGCAGTTTTGCACGTGTGGGACACACCAGGTCCATCCCCAGAACACTTCTCTCACTTTCCTATTGTGGTCACATGGTTCTCCATCCCCACCCACTTAGCGGCTCTCCATCCCTATAGTTTTGCTTTCTCCAGAATGTCATGTAAATGGAACTAAACTATATTTAAGCTTTGGAGTGGCCTCTCAAAAATAAAAGTATTCAAGCTACTTGGGAGGCTGAGGCACAGAATCGCTTGAACTCAGGAGGCGGAAGTTGAAGGGAGAGGAGATTGTGCCATTGCACTCCAGCCTGAGCAACAAGAGCACAACTCTGTCTCAAAAAACAAGATTATTAAATATTAGTCTAGAACTCACTGTAAACTCAGCACTTTGGGGTACATCAGTGGTATTTGGTTGTATTATGCTCCTAGAGTTTTGTTTTTCTATTATAGAATTTTCAAACATTTGCTAAGGTAGAGAAAACATTAATAGTTTGATGAACCTAATCTACTGTTTAATCAGCTTACTAATGATCAACACCTGGCCAATTGTGCGTCATCTACACCTCCACACACTTCCCCCATATTCCTCAGTATTCGCTTGAGGTGTAAAATACGTGTCCTCAGTTTATTAGAAAATTCAAACATTGTTTCATTTCATCTACAAATATTTCTGTATGCATTTTTATATGTTAATGATGTAAAACACAGACCCTGATACCGTATGACCTTGAGACAATTTAGACATAACTCTTAATGCATCAAATTAGGTATTCAGTCAGTTTTCAAGATTTTCGTCATCTTATAAATTATTATAATCATCATTATTTTGTAGTTATTTTAATTGGGATCCAAATGAGGACTATACATTACAATTGGATGGCAATATGTCTTACATTTCCTTTGATGTTTTTGAGTACATCACCTACATGTGTCATCTACATCTTTTTTTTACTTGCACTCTTTTGGTTTCTTTAGTTTTAATTGAAGAAACCGGATTATTTACCCTGTGGTATTTCAACACTCCACATTTTCTGATCGTATTCTGTGGTATTATTTAACCTGTGCTATAGATTAGATGTCCAGTCCAAATCTCATTGATAGGGTTTGGCTCTGTTTCCCCACCTGAATCTCATCTTGAATTATGACTCCCTTCTGTGGTCCAAGGGATTTGGTGTGTATGGGGGGTGATTGAATCATGGGGGCAATTACCCCATGCCGTTCTTGTGATAATAAGAGAGTCCTCATGAGGTCTGATAGTTTGGTAAGTGTCTGGTGTTTCCTCTGTGCCCACTCTCTCTCCTGCCTCCGTGTAAGATGTGTCTTGCTTCTCCTTTACCTTTTTATAATTGGAAGTTTCCTGAGGCCCCCCCAACCATGCATAACGGTGAGTCAATTTTTATAAATCCTTTGATAAATTACCCAGTCTCTGGTAGTTTCTTTATAGCAGTATGAAAATGAACTAATATACTCATGTTGAGATATAATCCCCAATGTTGGAGGTTGGGACTTGTGGGAGACATTTGCGTCAAGGGGATGGATTTGTATAACTTGGTGCTGTCCCACTGAGAGTGAGTTCGTTCTCAGGACATCTGTTGTTTAAAAGTGTGTGGCACCTGCCCCACTTGCTCTCTTGCTCCCAGTCTCTTCATATGAGAATCCTGCTCTCACCTATCCTTCTATGCCTTCTGCCATGAATGGAAGCCCCCAGATAGAAGGTGAGCAGATAGAGGCCAGCACCATGCTTCCTGTAAAGCCTGCAGACCTGTGAGCCAATTAAACCTTTTTCCTTTATAAATTACCCAGTCTCAGGTATTTCTTTATAGCAACAGAAAAACAGCCTAACACAACACGTGACTCTGCCCCCTGTATTTCTGTAAATATAGAGCTTCAATTAGATTTAGAGTTGATTTATTTGGCAAAAATACTTGAAATACCGAGGAAACATCTGTTTTTTTGAATTGCCGCTATTTCTTCTGTAACTACACTCCTGTTTTATTTGAATTACACTTCCTGTTATCCCTTTGAAACCATGTCGGGGAACTCACGTTATTTAATTAAACCATTGTTATTGGAACTAGGTGCAGCACTGATGACCTGTACTTTTTTCCCTGATGTTTTATGTCTGCACTAAACATTCACTGTGTTCCTTATGTCGAGTTTAAAATTGTTTATCAATTCTAGAAATATTTTAGTTGCTTCTCTTGTGAATCACCCTTGATATTACATTTTATAAATGAGCTTCACTGGTAAATAGTATATAGGACAGGTTTTAGTTTCTGTATTTTACTTACACATAATCAAAGCAATTAATAGCTTTCAATGGATTGCTTGACTTTGTTTTTGTATTTTAAGTAGATACATTATCTGAGAATTTAAGTCTGTTTTCCATTCAGATAGTTGTTTCTATTGTTGTTTTTGCTATTGTGTACATTGGCTATAGACTCCAGGATAATGTTGAATCATATGAATTATAATAGTGCCTTTAGTGATGTATCAGTCATGTCTCTTATTTTCTGATTTTGATGCCTTGACATCTGGGACCTTTTTGACCCTGGAGGGACTGCCTCTCTCAGGATAGGCTAATTCTTGTACATAATAAAGAACTTTCTTGCCTGTATGCATTCATATACAAACCAACCAACCCAGAGTTTATACCTCCTTCTTTATTCTCTCTTCCTCACTCCTTTTTCTTCTTCATCTCTGTTTATCTCTTTTGCAGTCTTCATTCTTTCTTATCACTCTCACATTTCTGACCAGTATCCTGTTTCCCTAATTTCTTCAGGACCAGTTAGCAGCCTCTTCTATCCAGAAGCCGATGACGTCATTCAAATGAGACAATTCTAAGCCTGATTGCCCTGCCTCGCATGTTCCTTCCCATGGAAACAGCAATAAAGTTTCTTGCCCATGTTTCCCCCTTTTCCTCTGCCTTCTGACCGACCTCAATGTTTCCCTGTCCTGCCCCTTGTTGTGTGCTGTGCCTGTTGTTTCCAGGGAACTGTGAGTAGTAAAATCAACTACTTCCCTCATGAGAGTCATTTCTGTGTTTGTGTGTCTTACCACTACTGATAAAAGAAATCCTGGGTACCATAAATGTAACTGACATTTCAGTTTGTGCTGTATTATTAAATATTTTTTTGCTGTAGGTTTCTGATCCATTATTTGGTATAAAAGCATCTTCCTCAATTGTGAGCTTCTTAAGGGGTTTAACATTTTTTTAACAAGGGGTGGTGTTGAATTTTACCAAGAGGCTTTTTGACATGTATTGACATAATTATGTTTATTTCTCCCACGAGTTTTTGCAATAAAAATGATACTGATTGTATAATAGGTTAAAATTAAAGGTTCTTCAAAGGTCCCCAAGATATAATAGTTTGAAAGTCTAAATCACCATATGTAGATTTTCATAGCAAGTATCTAGGAAACTGTCCCACAAGTATTAATTCCCCTCCTGACTTTAACAATCTGAATGGATGTAAAGTGGAGAAGACTGCAGGAAGCTGCTGCCTTGCTCTCTCCCCTACCTGGCCCCTGTATGGAGAAGAAAGTCATACCAACTCTAAACCTGAGTTTATAGTAGAAATCTTTAGGGGGTCACCAAGACAACTGACCAAAAAAACTCCTGGATCTAATAAGGGGTTATAGCAAAAGTGCAGCATACAGGGTTGATATAGGAAAGTCAATCGCAATTGCTTTTTGACACACCAGCAAGGAGCAATTAGAATTTCAAATTAAAAGCACAATACCATATATATTAATGTCCCTCCAACTAATGGAATACTTTGGTATAAATCTAACAAAATATATAAAATATCTATGAGAAAACCTATAAAATTTGGTTAAAGAAATCAAAGAAGAACTGAATAAATAGATATTTTATGTTCATCAAATGGACGGCCTATTATTAATGAAATGTCAGTTCTTCCCAATTTGTTCTATAGATTCAATGCAATCTTCATCAAAATCCAGCA